TCATGGCGTCTCCATTGGCTGCGAAATCGTCGATGCAAAGCGCGGCCTCGAACTGCGGGCGACGGGGCGCGGCGGTGTCATAAGGGGGAGCACCGCTCCATCCAGTTACGGCAGTTGTCGCAGCGTGGGTCCACGAAAATGCGGGGAACCCACTGCGCCGCCCACGCCGCGGCGCGCTCGTTCATGTAGTCGAAAGCGGCATTGTGCGAGGGCGTTGCTGTCGGGGAGGATGGATCCTGTCCGGCATCGTGTGGTTGTTGAAAGGGTCGAGCACGAGGAAGGGGTCCTAGTCTGGGGAACCAAGACTTCATGCGCTTGAGGGTCGTCTTGTCGAATTCGTCCTGGTAAAGGGAGTTCTGGAGCTCATGCAGGTATGCTTGTTGATGTGATCTGGGCTTCATGTGAGCTCCTCTACCTTGGGCCGCGCCGCGGCCCTGGGCCACGCCGCGGCCTGGCGTCTCGGGCGCAGAATTTGCAATGTCACGACCGTGCACCGCCGGCGCGAGTCGACCAGCAGCAGCGGCGCTTCGATGAGCAGATCGCAAAGCGTTGGATGCGCGCTCAGTCGTGTCCAACGAGCGCGTGATCATCTTGCGGAGAGAGCCCTTGCACGTCGGGCGCATCTGGCTGGAGACAATCACGTTGGAGCGCCAGGCGTTGCAGAGCTGATCCTCCCAGCAGGAGGCGCGCCAGGCACCCTCGATAACTTGACGTATTGGGCGTCGTCATCAAGAAACTTCTCGACGTTCACGAAACAGGCTCGGCCGCGACTTGATCGTCTGCGTCGCTGTCCCCCACGTCGTAGCAGCTAGCAGGGTCTCGAGGCCTTGGGGGCATCTCCGCGCCCGCCCAGCGTTCGAAGGAGAACGTGTCCATATGGGAGAAGCTGGACGGGGCAGCGCGAAGTAATGTGTGAAGCCCGTGGAGTTCTTCAGCCAGCAAGCATGGCGAAAGAGGGTAAAGTTGTCCGATGTATGAGAGGCAAGAAACAGCTGCGACGCCGTGCAGCGCGATGATCTGCTGCAGCGGCGCCCCGGCGTCAGCTAGGATCTTGATGCGCTCTTGCCGTTTACCTGCAGGGTGCTTCCATTGCGTCGATTGCGGGGCCCCAAGGCCAACGAAGGCGCCCAGGTAGCGCGCGAAGCTGGCAACCTTGAAGTTCTTCTACGGGGAGTAGATGCTCCCCAGTGCCTGCTGAATGCGCCGTGCGAGCGTCGGCGCCGGACGCGACCGCGCGGGGGCAGCGATGCATTTCTTGGCTTGAAGGTGCTGCCCTGCGCCCGACTCCAGGAAGGCGATGGGCAGGTCGTAGCAGGCCCTCCGCAGCGAGAGAAAGGGGCCATAGATGCCCCAGCGCCCTCAGACTTCCCAAAGCCAGTCGTGGAGCAGGCTCGGGAAGGCGGCCGCGATGTCCACGCTCGCGAAGCATGGCATGAGCGCCTCTGCGTCCTCGGACATGCTGGGCTTCCAAGCGACAGGGCCGACGAGAACAATATTGTTCAGGGGCCGACGAAGTCCTGTTGCCTTTCTGTCGTCCTGGTTGCAATGAGATGCAATCTGCGATTCGCCGCGGAGGCGATCAGCTTGACGTCGATGTTTTTCATGGCGAGCGGGCGGAGGCAGTCGGGGCTCCTGGTGCACTCGAAGTTGCCGAGAGGCTCGTCGTCCTTGGGTAGCATGGCCACCGGCGAGTAGTTGATGTCGCGTGGAAGGGGGCCACCTTCCGCCATGGAGACCACGAGATCGTGGAGGGCGTCGATGCGGCCAGGTGAATGAAGCCATGCGCGGTAGGGTGGCCCATCAGGGCCAGGCGCAGAGTCGCCTGCCAGTCGCGCAGCAGTGAAGAGCTCCTGGCTGCCTGGTAGTGACAGGTGCGTGAGCGAATGTTATGGAACCATTATGTCACAGCGTCGCTGCATTTCCCGGATGCGTTGACTGCCTTGGCGGAGAAGACGCGGCCCCAATGGGGCTGGATGGCGCTGCGCATGGCCATTGGGTCGGAGATCGCGTGGCATTCAGCTCCTTTGGGGATGCGCGTGCCAGATAGAACGAGACGCTTGGCGAATGGCCCCCCGAATTCTCTTCGTTGGCCAGCGCGACGTGGGCGCCTCCTCCACTTGTCGCCAAGCTGACGGTGATGCTCCTGAAGCGCAGCCCTGGGGCCCGCAGCAGCATCAAGACGGCGGCGGTCGGCGATGGCCAGGTGGGTCGGGTCAACCTCGCCGGCGAAAACTGCGGGGTCGACGCGGCTGATCAGAAAGTTGTCCATGCGCAAGTGTTTCGCACTCGCGGTGGTGTCGGAGGCAAGTATCATGGCGATCCCCCTGTCCTGGTGCCATGCTGCTCTGGCGATGCTGCGCAGCGTCGCGGCGCGCGCCTCGCAGCAGATGACTTGGTCGTCGCCCCCGAGCTCGGGCGGCTGGATCGCGACGAGGGCGTTGCGAGCTGCTTGCGCCGCCAGAGTCATGATCTGCTCCATTGCGCGCCACTTCGAGGTCGGGTCGACGATGGACATGTCGACCGTGCTCGCGAAACGCTCGAACAAGAACTCGTAGTGCTTGGACTCGAAGTTGAATGCGGGTATGCCCCTCTCGTCAGTGGGGCGCTGCGCGCGAGATCGGAGGCGAAGATGTATAACTTTCGATCGCTAGTCAGAGCGCCAGCGCCTTCCTGCGGACGGCAGTCCACCGTCAGGTGCGTCCCCAGCGGGGGGGCGTTGAACACTGCTGCGGACATGAAGCAGCGGTCAATCGTGGCTTCGGTCATGTTGGCCGAGCATCGGCGGGTGGCGGACGCGGTGGCGACCTCGGTCATGGTCGAGAAGACCTGCTTCCAGAATGCACGTTGATATTGGTATCTGTTGTCTGTGGTAGCGTCGGCAGGCCGCAGCGGGCTCTTTGGCGGCAGCTACGGGATGTTAAAACCGCCGGTGAGGGCCAGATTGTGCGCGGCAGAGGTGTCGACCATGCTGCCTAGGGCGGCCTTGAAAAAGGCGGCGGTCATTGGGCGGCAGCTAGTGGTTGTGGACGTTGAAGCTGGCGGTCTCGTGCCTCTGCTCACCGCCCATGTCTCGAAGCCCGGCGACGCGCCCGCGAACGACGGGCCGAAAGTTCCGACGAGGCCGGTGGGCAGCAAGAAGACTGAGCTCGCACTTGTCGCGCGGAATGAGGTTGGCGACGCCGCCCGCGTTTTGCAAATTCATTCTGCGAACCGAGTGAAACGCGATGCGCGGGTGCGGGGTGGAGCCGGCGAAGAACTGCATGTCAACGTAATTGCCGCGGGTCTCCTGCAGCGCGATGACAGCGCGCTGTCTCATGCAGGGCAGTAAGATGGCGCGCTTGATGGCTCGACGGGAGGATGTCTTCCCCATCGGCGCCTGAGTGTTCCATGAGGCGACGTTGAGGCCGTCCGGCTGGGGCTTGACGACCTACGGCGACCATCTTATGCTAGAGCCACTGCATTGCGGACGTAGGGTCCGAGAAGGCCGCGGCGAGCTCAGCGACGATGGGGTTGTGTTTATCTGCTGGAATGCCAGAAAGAACATCAGCGTCAGACGAGCGAGCCTTAGTAACGGCATCAGGCGTACGTAGCTCAAGCGGTAACCTGCACGATGGGCGTGCCTTTGACGAACAGGTCTCCGAGCGCGAGGTGTATCTTGATACCGATATCAGGGCGTTTGTCTGCGATGATTATGCTGAGATTTTTGAGCTGAACTTCCGGTCGAACCATCCTAGGATATTTATCGGCTGAAGCGTAGAGAGGAACCTGCCGAAGCGCGCTTGCGATCTGGAGTTGCCCTAATTCTCGTCCATATCGAAAAGCTCCAAGAAGGGCGCTGGCACGAGGAACAACAAGTATATCACCCCCAGTGAGCGTGAAAGACACTCTTCCACTGGGGTTGAGGCCAATTGCGTTGATGTCGACGTCCGCTGCGGCGAACCAGGGGCGAGATTGATGGACGGGTGCAGGGTTTCAGCATGACGAATCGAGTTCCTGATATCGTCGACGCGGGCTTGAAATTCATCATTGGGACGTTCGGCGTTGTCGGCCGAAGACTTGAGCTGGGCGAGGTCACGTTCGGCAGATTTTTGTCTGGCGCAAAGGGCTTCCGTGGTGCGGGTGGTGGTCGCGATGAACTCGGCTTGGGCGTCAGCAGTTACTTGTTCATGCTGTGGCTTCGAATGCGGCGGCGGCTTTGCCGACTTGAACGTGAAGTCGATATTATAATTCTTTCCGCTAATGGGCAGGAATGGTCGCGGCGAGAAGTTTTCGTGCACAAGCCGCCCATGGATATTCGGAGAGAAGTGCTTTGCCAACGCCTTTTTCGCAACAGCCTGGGCCACCAACGACTGCGATGATAGACTCGCTTCCAGCCGCACCACCAGGAGATCCCATTCTGCAGCCTCGCCCGCTGGTGAGAGGTGGCCCGCGCTAGCCACAGCAAAACGCGCGTGATATGGGAGCTGGTCGCAGGCGAATGCGGCAGCACAAAATATGAAGCTCAACGCTGCGGGTGCAGCGAGGGCGAGGGCGGGAAAGCGGGGTCCTTGCTGGCCCTGGACTGAAGGTCTCCGTGCTCTGCCACGGGACAAAATCATCTTGAGCCGAAGTGGCTACGGAAGGTCCAGAGGGAGAGGACGAGGAGGAGGAGGAGGGGGAGGAGGAGGAGGAGGAGGAGGAGGAGGAAGAGGAGGAAGAGGAGGAGGAGGATCAGGAGGAGGTGGAGCATCAGAGGAGGAGAAAAGGAGATCGCTGGGGAAGTGATCGTGGAGGAGGAAGAGGAGCATCAGAGGTGGGGGAGGAGACGGACGAGGAGAGGAGAGTCGTCGTCGTCGTCGTTGCTAACTACCGATCGTCCTCTGGGGTTTTCCCTGGGCTCGTCCTCCTCCTCCTCCTCCTCCTCCTCCTCTTTTTCTTATTCTTCTTATTCTTCTTTCTCCTCCTCCTCCTCTTCCTCCTCCTCCCTCCTGCAGGAGGCCTCGTGGGAGACCTCGGGAAGACCCTGGAGGCGCAACAGCAGGGACCGCCACAGCTGGCAGAAGCATCGGCCCCCGATCCTCGATCGACAACGGCGGCACGGGGCCGGCTCGGCTATTCGCTCGGGCAGAGGGGCGCCGCGCAATGCGGGGAGCCCACAGGGGGGGCGTGCACGCGCCCAACCGCGTACATGCATCTGGCCCCCCAGTCCGCGAGGCCAGCCTCGGAGGAGGAGGACGAGGGAGGAGGAGGAGGGAGGAGGAGGAGGAGGAGGAGGAGGAGGAGGAGGAGGAGGAGGAGGAGGAGGAGGAGGAGGAGGAGGAGGAGGAGGGAGGAGGAGGTTCGCGCAGTTCGTACTTCGAAACCCGCGTGGGTTCGCGTAGGCGTGCGTCCTTCTCGCGCTCTTGATGATGGGGTCGCCACCTCCTCCCTCGCCGTCGCTCGGACGCCCGTTCCCCGTGCACGTTTCGACGCCGCTCGTACTTATGGTCCAGGATGCTCCTCGATGGTATTCGCCGAGGGGGGAAAAAAAAAGCGCACACGTCCGTGCGATGCCGAGCCTCTGCGGAGGTGGGGAGGGGGGGCTCCGAGAGGAGGGCGAAGTGGAGACGACGGCGGCGCTCTCCGTCCCTCTGGGCCTCCCGGAAGCGTCTCGCCGCCACGGCTGGACCCGCCTCGACAAGCGGGCCCCGTCGCCTCGACGGGACCTTCTCCGAGACTCCCGGGGACCTCCCGCACGCAGAAAAAAGCCTCAGCCGCCCACGACGACGGTACAACCAAAAACCGACCGACCCGCAGCTGTCAGAAGCAGCCGAGAAGGGCGCAGAGACGCAGCAACGGCACAGCACCCGACCGAACACAACCGACTGCGAGGCAGCCGAACGGATAAAACCGCGCACACCCTTGAGAGCCACCCAATGTTTAGGCCTCCCAAATGGAGGGTCATGTCGCATCGCCGATCACTGGCGACGTCAGGACGGAGAAATTGGACTCCCCATCGCGACGCATCGCCGACGCATCGGCCATGCGGCGCGATCACCCGACCCCATGAACTCTGACTCTGGCCTCGTTCGGAAGGCCTAGCCTTGAGAACCACCCAAAAGCGTCCACGACCTCCCCCCCACCTCCTCGATCCTCGATCCTCCCTTTTCCTCGGTCCTCATGACGTGGCGGCTCGAACCGCTGCCCACGCGCGCGTCTGACCCCGATCACACGCGATCGGGGCCCCGAATGCCTCGGGAGGTCCCATCATGCAGCGCCCCAAACACTATGTAACCTTGACACTTCGTTACGCCATCCTCCTCCTCCTCCTCCTCGATCCTCGATCCTCAGGTGGAAGTGGCGACCTTCGCAATGATGCCACCCTGGCACTGCGCCAAAACTTGAGCCTCGAACGACGTCGAATTCGACGACGAAGATGACGACAAAGATGACGGCGATCAATGCCTGTGGACATGAATCTGCCTGTCATATTTTGTATGGGCGGTTCGCTTCGCGGAATGCCGACGAACTTCTGGAACTATGGTGCAATCCCAGGGGAACGGTCAGAGCTCCTGAGTCGACGTTTGCCTGGTCTGAGTTCCAGGTCGGGCCAAATGGTTCCCTTTCCTCGCTCTTCTCGTTCCCCTATTCCCTTACCCCTTCCCTTCCTGCTCATTTGCCCCAGACTAGAGACTCTCAATTGTGTGGTGTAGGTTGTCCATTCGATGACCATGTCTGCTGTGGTCTGCGAGGCCTGCATGAGCGAAGAAGAGGATGGTAACAAAGAGGAGGCGGAGGAAGAGGAGGAGGAGGAGGAGGAGCAGGAGGAGGAGGTGGAGGATGAGGAGTAGAAGGAGGAGGAGGAGGTGAAGGATGAGGATGAGGATGAGGATGAGGAGGAGGAGGAGGAGGAGGAGGAGGAGGAGGAGTTGGAAGAGGAAGAAGGGACGAGGAAAACGGGGAATATGGCCGCCAACGCTCGAGACCTCTGTCCTCGACGACGACGACGGTGACGACGACGACGACGACGACGACGACGACGACGACGACGACGACGACGACGGCGACGACGCCGACGACGACGACGACGACGACGACGACGGTGACGACGACGACGACGACGACGACGACGACGACGACGACGACGACGACGACGACGACGACGACGACGACGACGACGGCAGCGGCGGCGGCGGCGACAACGACGACGCCTGCCTCCGCGCCACTGCCCAGGCCGCCGAGGGCCGCTGCCCAGGCCGCCGAGGGCCGCCGAAGGGCCGCCGAGAGCCGCCGAATGGCCGCCAAGAGCCGCCGAAGGGCCGCTGCCCACTCCGGTGAGGGCCTGCGAAGGCCTGCGAGGGCCTGCGAGTGGAGGAACAAACAATGACATGACCATAAAAACTCGGTGGTCCGCGCGGATTTCTCGGATCGGCGCTGGACCGCCCTGGCGGCGCCTCCGGCGCCGCCCCTGCGAGGGCCGTGGAAGGCCGCTGGCCACCGACGGCGGCGGCGACAACCGTCGCCACATCGCGGCCGAGCATGAGGCCATTGCCTCAGAATCGCTGCATGAAGTCGAGCTGCGCCGTTCCTCAATAGGGTCCGCTGGCCGCCCGGAAGACGGCCTGCGCTGCCTGCGCGAGTTCCATGTGCCAGCTACGCAACAAGAGTGGACAAGCCGTCTGATAGGCCAGCGCAGAGCTCGAAGTCGGCGGTCAAGCACAGCCTGCACTCGTCTGACGTCCAGCCGGCACACGCGCCAGAATGCTTCTCGAGCAGCTGCAGGGAGAGCTCGAAGTAGCGCATCTGATCGGTGCCGAAGCAAGTGCCATGCTTGCGCCACTCGTGCTCCCAAAAACCCTCCGCAGAAGATCTGACCGAGCAGCTCGGCCACGCGGCGCTCATGCGCGCCCGCAGGCCGCCCAGCCCGCCCAGCCTGAAGGCATCGCCCGAGCAGTCCTGTGCCCCTTCTGGCCACAGCCCGTGCAGCGTCCACGCCCCACGGCCAGCGCGGCATCGCTGCAGGGCGAGCACGTAGGCGCCGCGGCGGCGGCATTGGCTCAGCGTGGCCAGGCCTGCTTTCCCGGCACTGCCCGCGTGGCCCTGGACGACTGCCGGCGCCCCTTCGCCACCGGACCTCAGCATGACTGGGCAGAAGCCGCCACCGCCGTGCCCAGCAGCGGCCGCCGATGCTGCGCCACGGCCAACCACGGCGGAGCCACCAAGCGGACCCTGAAGGGCTACCTCTATCTTAGAAGCCCACGGCCCTGGATGCGCATGGCCATGTCCATCGCCGTGTCCCACGACTTGTTCGATGGCTGCACCGTGGCAGTGCATGAAGCTCGAGTCGGTGGACCCCAGCCGGAAGGCGGAGCTGCAGGTAAGGAACCAGTCAGCAGGCGACTCCACACGGCAGCCGATGCGCGGCGGGTAGATGTCGCCGCATGGCAGGCGGGCGTCGACGCGCGTTCGGAAGTTGTTCAGAGCCTGGCCGTTGACGTTGATTGACGTTGTTAGACCTCCTGAGTCCCAACTCCACGGACCGCTACAACTCAGTTGCTTGGTCCCGTCACACATGCAGCTGTCACCTGGCTTGGCCTCGTCGCACACGAGCTCTACGGGGCCCACAAGGCGCTCCGGAGGCAGGATCTTGCTCGGCAGCACGAGCTCGCTGCGCGAGGCAGAGCCAGCAGAGCCTGGGTGCGTTTCCACGTGGGAGCGGTGCGGGCTGGAGAAGCCTCCCTGGCCGCCAGGGCTGTACTGAAAGTCTGCGTTGAATTTGCCAGCGCCGAAGCCGCCAGCTGCCTCGGCAAGCACCTTCCAGTCTGACGCCTCCGTGCGCTGGAGGAGGCGCGTGGCTCGCCCGTTCTGTGCGGAATTTCCTTGGCTGCCGGGAGTGCCGCCATCGCCTACCTCAATTCGATAAGTCTGGCCAGCTTTCATCTCCACCAGCGCCTTCACGTGCGCGCCGCCGCCACCGCCTCCGCCGCACACCCATGCCTCCGAAGTTGCCAGCTTGACGGTGACGTCGACATTTCTGCCATCTGCGACCCATCTCTGACGACCCATGGGGACAGAATTTGGCTCGCCAGGAATTGCAATTATGAACCTACATGTGTTGGTGGACTGGAAGAGGTTGCCTGGGTCCAAACCAATGCGCCTGGTGGTGTCTGGCGCGTTACTGCTAAAGAACCACGAGGGGCCCCAGCCATGATCGCTGCAATCAGGATCGTAAAAGATGTGCAGGGTCTGGTCCGTGTGCTTGTACCAGCTAGCCCCTCCGGCGGTGGCCCCCTTCCGCTCGTATAGGCCCGACAGCGAACCATACGAGGTCGAAACATCCAAAAAGACCGTGCTCTCGGACGACGCCGTCTTCACGGCGCCCGTGCCGCCTCCGCCGCCCCCCCACAGGTCGACCAGCACAAAGCCAGTGCTGCCTTGGACAAAATCAGTTGTGCGATTGTACAGGCGTGGCAATTCAACTTGCCCAATCCCAGCAAAGTCGTCGCCGCACACGATGGGGTGCCCGTCCGCGTCTCCGGGCTGAAAATGCCCCAGGTCAGAAAAAGTTAAGCAAGTCCGCGTGCACACACCTACAGCGCAATCTACTCCAAGATCTGAGTGCGTCTCATCTGCGCACTGCTTGGGCTCACAATACGGTCCGTTAATCTGTTGGCAACGCCGAGTGTAAGACGCAGAAACAACTTTTGATGGGATGATGCTGAACTCCGCAACCGTGCCTGCGGCACGAGGAAGCGTGGACGAATGTCAAGGGCTGTCTGGCAAGGTTCTGTAGTCTTCCAAGGAGCCCCCACCCGCTCCAGCAACACTCACTGACTGCACCACTTCCACTCCAGGGGGGTCCCTGGGCGGCCATGGCGCCTCCCCCGGGCTCTCTAAGGCTTCCATGACGGCCCAAGAGGCCCCCGAGACGGTCCAAGAGGGCACCGAATCGCCGAACGATCGCTCGAAGACGCCCAAGATGGCCTCGAGATGGCCCAAGAGGCCTCCAAGACGCCCTAAGAGGCCTCCAAGAGGCCTCACAAGAGGACCCCAAGAGGCACAAATCATTGAGTGTCCTTTGTGACAGATTTTGGCGTTCTCGCCTTCCCGTCAACCCAACGCTCCAAGGCGGCCCACAAGGCCCCCACGACCGCCACAAAACGGCCCAAGAGGCCTCCAAGAGGGCCTCAAGACAGCCTAAGAGCGCCCCAAGACGGCCCAAGAGGCACCCAAGACGGCGCCAAGAGGGGCCCAAGAGAGGGAACACGAAAATAAAATTCGAGCCTTCCGTCTCAAGAGGCCCCCAGGAGGCCCCAACAGGCCACCAAGAGGCCCCACGAGACCCACTTAACTGTCCCCAAGAGGCCTCGAAACTGCCTCCAGGAGGCCCCCGAGAGGCCTCCCACGAGATCCCCACGAACATCAAATAGGCTTCACACATGCAGCCCAGGCACGGTGGCTGGACTTGCCGCAGGCAACTGACTTCGCCGTCCCTGTCGATTCATCGCAGGGGTGCCTGGCGTGCGAGATGATTTCGGTCTTTGTTTTGGTTCTTTTTCCAAAAGAACTCCCCCTGGGGCTCCGGCGCGTCCCGCCGGTGTCCCCGGAGGGAGCTCCAGGCCAGCAATCGACCTCAACGTCCGCAAAAAATCTCCAAGACGGCTCAAGATGGCCCTCCAAGACGGCCCTCAAGCTCGCCCAAGATGGTCCAAGACGGCCTCCCAGACGGCCCAAGAGGGTCCCAGATACGTCCCAATTCGCCCAAGAAGCCTAGAAGACGGCCCAAGCCGGCCCAAGAGGCCCCCCAGAGGCCTCCAAGACGGCCCAAGAGGCCTCCAAGAGGTCCTCCAGGAGGGCTCGAAGAGGCCAACATCATCGATATTTTTCTATGTTTTTGAAGGAGTTTGGCATTCGCTTGTTGTTGGCTTTCCGACGACACAAGACGGCCAAAGAGGCCCCCAAGATCGCCCGCACGGCACACAAGAGGCCTCCAAGATGGCCTCAGGAGTGCCCAAGAGGCCCCCAAGACGGCCCCAAGAGGGCACAAAGACGACCCAAGAGGCCTCCAAGACGCCCAAGATGGCCTCTAAGACGGCCCTGGAGCACTCCAAGAGGGGCCAAGTCGGCCCAGAAAGGCCCCCCAAACTGCTTTCGACGGCGTCGGACGGGCGAGGAGCCCACCAAAATGGCCGAAGTTGGCTCGAAGCTGGCCCAAGACGGCCCAAGAGGCCTCCAAGAGGGCCTCCAGGAAGGCCAGAGAAGGCCCAAAACACTGATGTTCCATAGTTTTTTGGAGGATTTTGACATTTGCTTCGGCCTTCCGACGGCCCGATACGGCCCAAGAGCCCCAAAGATCGCCCAAAGATCGCCCAAGAGGCCTCCAAGATGGCCCCAGAACGGCCCTAGAGGCCCCCAAGACGGCCCAGGAGGCTTTTTAAGACGCCCAAGATGGCCTCCAAGACGGCCCTGGAACATTCCAAGAGGGCCCAAAGTCGGCTCAGAGAGGCCCCCCAAACGGCTTTCCACGGCGTCGGACGGGCCAGGGGCCCACCAACACGGCCGAAGATGGCACTAAGACGGCCCAAAACGGCCCAAGAGGCCTCCAGGAAGGCCCGAAAAGGCCAAAATTATAGATGTCCCATGAGTTTGTGAAAGATTGTGGCATTTGCTGTTTTTGTTCGGCCATCCGACGGCACGAGACGGCCCAAGTGCCCCCAAAGATCGCCCAAGAGGCCCAAGACGGCCCCAAGAGGCGCCCAAGACGGCCCAAGAAACCTCCAAGACGCTCAAGATGGACTCCAAGACGGCCCAAAAGCCCTCCAAGACGTCCTCCAAGAAGGCCGCAAAGGGTCAAAATGGCCTCCAGTCGGCCAAGATGACCTTCAATTCAAGATGCCCACGTGTTCCCCGAAGGCTTTCCAGACCGATTCGGGGAACACAAGGTCCGATAGCTCGGAAGGTCTGGCCTCAACGTTCGGCCACATGGGCGCTTCCAAAGAGGCAGGGGGCGGCGGTGACTCGCCGTAGGCGTCGTCGATTACGCCCAGCTGCCAATCGATCGAACGGCTTGTCGGTCCCAGCCAGCGCCTCCAGAAGTGCGCGGCGGGAGGCTGCCGCCTCGCGGAGCTCCTTCGTCAGGGCCTCCAGGCTGTGCTGCCACGAGCCGCGCTGCAAGCCGTGGGGCGCCGGCGCCTCGGGCGCGGCCCGCGCAGCTGGAGCGGCCGGCGACGGGGGCGGGGCCTCGGACTGGCTGTCCGACGAGCCCTGCTGCAGATGCCGCGTCGCGAGGCAGAGCCCCGCGGCGACGCAGACGGCCGCCGCTGCGAGGCAGGAGGCCCGCGAGAGCGCTCTCTGCCTGGTGCTGCGCTGTGGCGTCTGGGCCCCCCCCCCCCCCTCCAGAAGCATGCTCTGCACCGTGCGCAGCGGGTCACCCTCATCGGGGAACATGACCCGCTGGCCGCTGGCGGCCGTGCCAGCCTTCGGACACGCGCGCTGCAAATCCTGTGCGGCGCTCGCCTGCAGCCTCGAGCCCAGTCTTGAGCAAACGGCCACGGAGTCGACCCACTAACGCTCAATAGACCTTCCCAGAGATCCGACGTCGTGATTTTTTCCTACGGGATCCCCGGAAGTCTCGACCCACTCCCCGGGACCGGTTTCTCACCAGAAGTCATTGTTTGACGGTCCTGGGGCCTGGCGAGGGCCCCTAGAGGCCGCAAACTGCGAAAAACTTCCATTCTGATCTTTTCGATGCGTTGGATCTCTGGGTTCACGTCGGGAGCGGCCAAGAGGGGGGTGTCCAAGAGGGGGGGTGCAATCATGACCGGCGGCATGTGCGCGGCCCAGCGGGGGGGCCAGGGACGTAATGAAATAAGAAGAGTCGCCATGAAATCTGGGGAAATATCATGGCGCACGCCATGATATCCATCCCCCCCTAGTCATCACCCCCCTCTTTTCCGCCCCCTATCACGGGATGCCCAAACCATCACCCCGCGAACTCCAGGTGCGTGCGGGCACAGGCTCCCGACGTCGGCGGCGCCCAGGAAAGCGAAAAGGCGAGGGGCAATGGCCTTCGGCCCCCCGGCGGGCCCCAGGGCCCAGGCCCTGGCTTCTGGCCCTGTGGACGCCATGACAGTGAACATGACTAACCGATCAACAAGTCATTCAGTGATGGATTCAGTGACGTGCCAAGTCAATGCCATTGATGGCAAGTCATGGCAAGCCATAGCAAGACAGTCGTGGCAAGTCATGGCGTGGCAGGTCAATGACAGTTGATTGATTCAATGACATGCCAAGTCGTGGTAACCCGTTGACATTCCATTCACTGAATCATAAAATGCCATGCCATTCAATGATGGATTCAATGTCATCCCCATCATTGAGTTAAACAATTAGTTTGAAACATTTCGAAACATTTCCCCAAAATGCTAAAAAACAGTTACTTGCATGTTTCAGACATGCGTTCAACACGCTTCAGGCCTTTGGAAACGATTCGGCAACCTGCTTCCTCTCCCTGGATCGTCGTCCACAATTCTGGCCGAGATCGGCTCGCGTCCCCCGCCCCCCCCCCAAACGCCGAGCACGGCGGCCGCCGGGCCGCCTCGACTGCTCCTGGCGGGCGAGCGCCGCGGCGCACAGCGCCGCCGCCGCGAGGCCGGGCAGCAGCCGCAGGGCGAGCCCGGGCGCCGCGAGGGGGGCGGCCAGCGCCAGGGCCAGCGCGGCCCAGGCGCGGCGGCCCTCGTCGTCCTAGAGGCTCGCGAGAGGGGGGCAGCCCGGGTCCAGGTCGGGCACGTCCCCCGACAGGAGGGAGGCGCAACGAGAGCCAAAGAGTGGTCCAGGGACGACGTCTCTAAGTATGACTTGCCTCGGCTATTTGTCCGACGACTTGCCTGGGCTCTATGTCTCCTCTTCCTTCCGGCATCGGCCCGTCGGAAGACGTGCCCGAGCTCGAGCCAGGCGAGGGGCGGGCGCAGGCGTCCGACGCTGGCGCTTCTCTCCGCCGAGGGGCTCCCGCCAGTCCCGGGGAGGTCTGGGCCCCCCCTTTTCCCGGGGCACCGGCTTCTCGAGGGGGGGCCCAGAGACACGCAAACGAGTAGACACAAGTCCCAGGACTCCCCGTCTTTTCCCCTATTGTTCTGGGTTTCCGTCTTCCCCCTCGCTTCCCGTCGTTTCCCACACAGATTCCTGGGAGTCGACGATTCCTTGCGTCTGTGTCTGTTTTGTCCCCCTCCTGATTCTCATCCTGCCTTGTTCCGACGGCCCTGCAGGGCCGCGGGGGGCCGAGATCTGCCAAGCTCCGGCCGTCGAGTCTCCTCGTTCGCGGCGCGAGGCTGTCGGGAGCGTCCCTGGTGGCGACCTCTCCCCCCCTGGCGAGGGGGAACGCTTTGGTCACGTTCGCCCGGAGAGCCGACCGATCTTCCGGGGAACCTAGCTTCTTCCCTGAAAACCGATTTTTTGCCGCTCCACTCCCACGACGGCCTCCATCGTCGAAGCTAATATGATGCCGCGCCGCGGTCCCTCGGCCACTTCCAGGGCCAGGTCCTGGAGGAGGAGGAGGAGGAGGAAGAGGAGGAGGAGGAGGCTGTCGGGAGAGCGCGTATCGCCCCCTCCTCTAGAGGGGGGTGCGACGGGGGGCGACGTCGCAACCCTACAAACGAAAACTCTCTGGGAGATTTGCTGCGTGGGAGGGGCCATCCTCCTCCTCCTCCTCCTCCTCCTCCTCCTCCTCCTCCTCCTCCTCCCTGGCGAGGGGCAACGTTCGGGGGTGGGGGGGGGCCAGCTCCGAGGGCGAAGCCTCGAGCTGGCATCGGCGCTGCGTCGCCGACAGGGGCGGCGGCGGGGCCCCTGACGCCCGAGCTCCGCACGTCCCCAGGCGGCGCGGCGGGCTCTCGGGCCCGTGCGTCGGCGATCGAGGGGCGATGGAGGGTCGATGCGTCTCGCCCCCCCTTGGCCCACAGTCGGAGCCTTGAGCTAAGGAACCCAAAATAAGGAACGAGGCCCCTTCCTCCCATAAGTTAAACTTCGATATCCGGTCGAAAACACAGGGAACACCTGAGGCAAGCTGCGAAACACTTAAGGAACGCGGAGCCCCTCCCCAACGAAAAGGGTTCCTTCTTCAGGGCCTACAGTCGGGGCCCTGAAGAAGGAGCCCTTTTCGTTGGGGAGGGGCTCCGCGTTCCTTACGTGTTGCACAGCTTGCCTCAGGTGTTCCTTATGTTTCCGATCGGAAATCGAAGTTTGACTCATGGAAAAGAAGGGGCTTCGTTCCTTATATAGGGTTCCTTAGGTCAACGCCCCGACTGTATCATCCCGAACGTTGCCCCTGACCTGTGGGCGACGACCTGCGCTCGGGAACGTTCAGGAGGGGGAGAAACACACAGACACAATGAATCGTCGATCCCCAGGAAAATATAGGAAAATATGGGAAGTGGGGGGGGAAGACAAAAGCCCAGAAGATATGGAAAAATATGGGGAATCTTTTCATTTGTGTGTATTTATTTGTGTGTTTGTGGGCCCCTTCAAACGTTTTGCTTAGCGTGTCGCGGCGGGGCCCCCCGGCGGCACGCCACGCCCTGCAGGCTGGCCGCTTGTCGCTCCGCTTCGCGGGGCGGGAGGCTGGAATTGAGTGGGAGCGTGGCGACCTTGTCGCGCCGCAGCGTTGTGGACCAGAACGGGCGGAGCGACACGGTAAGCAACCGTTCTCCACAATAAGGCATCCCTTGCCTCAGAACATTCGGGGCGCCCCTCCTGTCGCAATGTTGGGCCTCCCTCGGAGGGACAGCGAAGAAGCAAGTCTGGATGAGAAACCAGCCCTGGGGAAGGGGCCGAGAGGCCTACTCAGGCTTACTCAGGGGGCCACGCACCGAACAACAGCAGAGCACCGGATACCTGGGACGGCGGCGGAGCGCGGCGCCCTGGCGGCGACGGCACCAGCGTGGACAACGGCGAGCGGCGCTGGGGCCAGCGCGGCTCCCGTGCGGCGGCTCTTCTCTTTGGTCGACCCAAACGGGGGTCCAGCTGAAAGGGGGTGGTGCAGTAGATTTGGGGCAATTGTATCAGGAGGCCACATGCGAACCCTACCCCTACCCCCCATGACTTCTCAGGGGGAGGGTGGGGTTCACTTCGCTCGGGAGCTCCCGAACGAAGTGAACCCCACCCTCCTCCTCAAAAGTCGTAGGGGGTAGGGGTGGTAGGGTTCGCTTGTGGCCCCCTATGTATTGCACATGTATGTTGCGCCAGAGAACTGTCTTGCCTTGTGCTGCAACTCGTGTGTTGCACGCGAAGATCCAGCAATAATTACCTCTGCGCACCGGAATGTACTGCGCGCCCCAAATCTTTTGCAACCCACATTTTCTACGGCACCAGATCTATTGCACCACCCCCTTGTTGCTCTACCCCCTCTCCTGCCGTCGCTCGGACGTGCATTTCCCGTGCTCGTTTGACTTCGTGCGTGCTTCTTGTGGCCGGATGACCCAGGACGCTCCTCGACGACCCCCGCCGAGAAAAGACGCAAACGTCCGAGCGATGCCAAGCTTTGGGGTCCACAAGCCTCTCTTTTCCCGCGGCTTCGGCACACGGCGGCCTCCGGCGGCCTTCGGCCCTCTCGGCGGCCCTCGGAGGCCCTCGGCGGCCTCCGGCGAGCAGGGCGGCCTCGGGGGCCAGCGCGGCCGACGCGCGGCGGGCCCCGCGCCCCCCCCCGCGACGGCGGCGCTCCGCGCAGGAGGGGTGCGGGCCCTGGCGGACGGGGGCCCCGAGCTTTGTGCTGCCGTGTTCGGGCCCACGGGGCCCTCCACGGGCCCCGGGACCATCAGACAGCACCCTGAGATTAGGTCGGGCCCGTCCCCCTAGAGGGGGATTGTCGACGAGAGATAATACAGTACCACAAAAAATGCCCCCAAATGATGAAACAAATACGGAAAGATAGTCCCCAGACAATTTTTTGATCATTTCGGGATTATTTTTGGAGTATGCTTTATTTATGGTCGGAAATTCCCCTGTCGGGGGACACGCTCGATTTAACCCTACGAATGTCCTGGCCTGCGGTCCTGGGATCATGTTTTGGCTGCGGCGACGGCGGCGGCAGCGATGGCGCCTGCGCGGGCGGCAATGGCGGCGTCGGCGTGGACGACGGCGGCCTTCGTCCTCCCAGGCGATCGACGCTTCATCTGGTGTTCACAGCCACGCCCTCGTCACAATACCACGAGGCGCCAGGGCGGGGGCATGGATGAGCTTTTGGGGCCAAGTGTTTTGTCCATACCCTACATTTTGACGCTCCAGAATTGGAGGCGGCAGTAGGCCAATGGATCAAGCTGTGGTCGCCGATGCGGAAGCTTTTCGGTGGCTTCTGGAGGTGTTCCACCTTTCGGCGGCGTATGCGGCTCTGCGAGAGAAAAAGCAAAATTGCAGATACAACAGGTCTCCAACATTTTCCCGGTGGCTTTCGCGAGACTGCTCGGGTCTTGCGAATGACTCCCGCCGGCAATGTCTGATCGGAGATCTACTTAGGACGAGAAGAATATATTGACGCAGCGTACTATTGATACGT